TGTATCTTCCTTACTTTTACTTTCCTTTTTTGAGTTTAATTCATCTGATGATTTAAATTAATTTTATCACCAAAATATTAATGCGAAAACCTGAAGCTTAATGGAAATGGCCAAGCAAATAGCAGGATGGAAGAGTTCTCTCTTGAATCTTCCTGAAAAGAGCATAGAGAATTTAAATTAGTCTGCTGGATTAGGCTATGCTGAAAAATAGAACTGGACACTGGTATTACCATCGAAATTTGCTATTTACCCATGCACAACAAAAGTAGCGAGCATCTTAAGAACTGCTTGGGGGTTACTTATGGTCAGCCTATTTTAGTCCTATTATAAATGATTATGGATTTAAGTTTAATAAACGGCAAATGCAGAAATTAACAGGTTCACATTAAATACAGACTCCATTCTATTCCATTTAATTATATTGAAAATTATTTCCAAAGTAACAATTTCAACCAAATTTTTAGTGAACAAAATGTTATGCTATTTTATATCACAATTAAGAATCAGAATTTAAACATAACTGACTATATTGTTAGTCCTTACTTCATCAGAAGCAGAGCGAAGACATTGAACAGCAGCCTGTTTCTTCATTTCTTCTAATGTAAGATCAGAGCACTTTTTCTTACTTTTCCCCCATTTCTTGTAAGCTCCCTTTTCCCAGCCCAGGAAGATGTCATTCTCCTAAAAAAAATTGAAAATCATAATAACTGCAATATTTTCTTGTCTTTGCAANCAATTTAGAAGAATAAAATAATTAAGAGGGTGTTTTTTAAGAAATGCAACATACATTTCTACTTGATCTTTTGCTGCAGGAGATAAATCTATTTCAGGAGGCAAAGAGTCCTCAAGTCTTTTTGAAATCTTCTCCTCCGCTATTAAAAAAAAGTCAGTACAAAAATCTGATCAGACTCATTTTGAAATAAATACAAATATGCAATCATCAATTCCATATTCTGGCCCACAAGCTTATGTTAAGAATGTATACACTGAATATACAAATGAATTAATTACATCATCCACATTTTTTAACAGTAAACTATTTCATCTATCTGGATATTGGTAGGGAGTTACCAAATTAGTGATGAAGCTCCCAGACAAAGTTCTAAACCATGAGTGGCATTATTTACAATTTGTTGAAAAAGTACACGATATATACTTAAAATAGTCACAATTAATTTTCTCAAAGATTTCCAACAGGACCAAAAGAAAATATTATCCCATTAGGATTGCTCTAAGGAAATTCTGAGAATAATTAAATTTCTTAATTGGTGGCGTGGTGGCGCAGTGGTCAGAATGCAGTATTTCAGGCTAATTCTGACAACTGCCAGCAGTTTGGCTCAAGGTTGACTCAGACCTCCATGGGTATCATACTATTGATTACATACTAATATCAACATGTTTTATTCAACTCTAAAATAATCCCTTGCACTGATAGTAACTACTTCCCTATATTGAAATCATTCAATTTTAATCATTTAATTTTAACATTTCACCTAGCATCTAGTTCAATCTAATTCAGAAATAAAAATCGTCTTTAGTTAAGTGACTAACTGCAAGAGTTGCACTAGCCTCCCATTTCTTTAGCTTCCTCCAAAGCTTTATTAAACAATTAATCATGTCAGTGATTGATGCCCCCAAACCATTAAATACTTACCAAGCATTTCATCTCGGATCCCCTGACCGTGTCCGCCCTATTACTACTGAAGAAATCCACAACTTGATCTCCCAAATCTAATAAAAGGACTGGAGGGGACTTGATATAAGAATGATAGTGCTGTATATTGGTATCGTTTTTTGCACATATGATTTCTATGCAGATCTCAATGAAAGGCACCACTTTGTAAAATCCCTATTTTTAAAAAGGCATACAAGCTTAATCCAGCTAAATACTGTCCAGTCATCCTATTAAGTATAAGCAAATTATATGCCAAGCACAATTATAAAAATCTAATGGATTCAGAGAAAAATCCTAACCACAGAACAAATTGGCTTTAGGTCAGGATTTTACATTTCTGATCAAGGAGCCACATTCCCACTTAACATGTTCCAAGAAATCTCATCCCAAAATGGAATCTCACCTTGTTCGCTCTGGAGATCTTTTAGCCTGGAACAAAGTTCCTCAACTAATGTCTCAATCCCAGAACTCTGCAATTTAAAAAACACACTAAACTGAATTATTTATAGCTGAACTTTCATAAAATGCATGTCTAGTGATTATTTACATTACTAAAAAATAATGCAAAAAGAATTTGCAAGTCTTTTTTTATGCATTTGCTGTAAAATTAAAATATACTTTTCCTCAATTTTATATCACTGATTTCATCTAGATATATATACAGGATCACTGCTCTCTAAATAATGGGAAGATTGGTCTTAAGGCCAAAATAAAATTAATGAAGCAGAAGAATATATTGTTTCAAAGATGTGCTTAAAAAGGCAACTGGACTTTTTTTTATTTTTCTTGAAGATATTTTACATCTTATCCAAGAAGCTTCTTCAGTTCTAACTAACTGGTGGAAATAGAAAGGATTTATAGTCTTTGCAGTCAGCTAGCTGATTAACACTCTGAGGGTCCATTGAAATCACCTGGAGGTTAATCACCTGGGTCCTCAAAGCCACCAGAATAAGAATGCAACACATGTGGAACTGTGAATTAAGAAGACAGGTGGTATTGTATCCCTCCCCTTCTGTTGAGAGAGGACTGTTCAATTTTAACATAGATAGCATCTTTGATTCCTCTTTCAAGATTGTTCTTTGTCCAGAATGTAAACTTTGTTGTCTTCAAAGGATTGGCCCTTTTCTTTCAGGTAGAGATGGACTACTAAATTCTGTCCTGCTGAGTTGGTTCTTCTGTGTTTGTACCATGATTTGTGTAATGGTTGTTTTGTTTTCCCAGTGTACACATCTGAACATGCCTCACTGCACTGTACTGAATATACAAAATTACTCTGTTTGTGTCTAGCTGTTTTGTCATTGGTGTGCACTAGCTTCTATCTTAGTGTTCCTGGTTTAAAGTGTGTATGCATGTTGTGTTTGTTGAAAATCCATGTGAGCTTTTCTGATATTCCTGCAACATATGGAATGATAACGATGCTCCATGTGTATTTCTTTTTTTCTCTGTTAGGGTTAGGGAACAACATTACATTTGTTGCAGGAATATCAGATCACATTGTTCCTTCGAAGATTTTAATGTGACATGCTTCAATTCTATGCCAATTTCACAAAGGCAACCATAAATAAATCCTTCTGCCTATATTTTGAAGACTAAAAAAATTAAGAACCAAAGTCATTAATTATAACATACATAGCAATGATTCAGTTAAGAAATAATAGTCTATATCTATTAGCACTAAATAGCTCCATAAGTAATTTACAGTACTATATTTTTAATCTATAATGTATCAGCTAACATAAAGCTTCCCAATAACAGGCAGTAATTGTTCTACCAATTTTTTATTAGTCCGATCCCACTTTGAGTACTATATTGGCTGGAACACTTAAGAAGGATTCAAGCAAACTGAAACAAAGTCTGAGAATGCCTGTGAAGATTATCAGAATATTAGCAACTAATTCTTATGAAAAAATCTGGAAATATTTAGTCTTCAGGAGAGAAGCATAAGGAGAAATGACAGTTACTTAGATTTGCCTAACATAAGCAGCATAAAATATTTGTAAGAAAATATTGAAAGGCTGCCATATTTAAGGGGGATTGAGAAACCTGCTCTTTTATCATTTCAGAGGAAAGAATAATGGGTTTATGTTACAGGAAGGCAAGTTCTGATTGAATATTACAAATAATTTCCTAATATTTACAACAAATGAGCTACATCAGTGATCTCCCACCTTTCTAGCTCCATGGACTGGCAGAAGCAGGAGGGTAGGGGGGAAAGAGATGGTTTTGTGCCTGCATCCTGTGCAAATGAAACTTCACGGACCTGCCTGCCATTTGCACAGCCGGGGGATTGGGGACTCCTGAGTTATATAATCAATTATCCAGAGGTAGCACCTCTCTTATACCAGATTTATTCAACCAGAAGTTAGCAGTTAATGTTGTCTTAAATGGGACTGATGACTTACAACCACAATTGAGGCCAAAATTTCCATTACCAAGCAAAATAGTTGTTAAGTGAGTTTTGCCCCATTTTATGTTAACCTGGCTTCTCCATTGACTTTGCTTGTCAGAAAGTCACAAAAGGTAATGACCTCAGGACACTGCAATATTCATAAATACATGCCAGTTGCTAAGCCTCTGAATTTTAATAATGTGACCATGGGGATGCTGCAACAGTCATTAAGTGTTTTCAGTGCCACTGTAACTTCAAAGTCACTAAATGAATGGTTGTAAGT